CACGAGTCTCACGAAAACAGGCTGGTCTCACGTGAACCCAACCCTATATATATATATATATATATATATATATATATATAGTTAAGATCATTTGTTAACCATAAAAAATGTATTAACTATACAAACATTTTAAATCAATCACACGCCATTGTTAATTTATGTCATGAAAATTGATTAACTTTCCTATTTTCCATATATTATCCCGTATGTAATAAGTTGAACAGGATGGGTGAACATATGAGATTAATGTTTACAAGCGCACATATGATCATGTGAACGTGATGGTTCTTTTTTGGTCGAGACATATGTGCATAAGTGAACAAGTTCATATATGAACATAAAATTGATATATGAACAATAATAAAGTTAACACCATATACGTACATGAAACTAAATTGATGTACTATGTCGGTTACTTTATGAACAATAATAAAGGTAACCATATATATGTATGTACGTATGCATTTTGGTTACTATTCGATAGAGTAATTACTGGACGCTAATTAATGAGGATAACTTTTTTGATTTTCCAATAATACCCTTGTTAATATATGTTACCAATCTAATTCATCATAATCTTAGTTGTTACATAAATGCCATGATAAATATAATTCATTGATTTTCAAGATGAATGATTGTGATCGGTTTACAAAGTTAACACCATATATTAGGTTAACAAAAGAACATGCCCCTATATATAGGGGAAAGTTCAAACGAGAAGCCAAACATTAGACAGAAAGTTTCAATATCATATATAATTACAACCAAATACAAAATAAATTTGAAACTATTTGTAGTTTACAACCAAAATCAAGATAAAGTCGAGAAAGTTACAATATTACAACCAAGTACATTTAAATCCATCAACAAAACAAAACACGATAAGTTAAACACGATCTCATTTCAACTCAATTTGTAGGTTTCGTAAACGGTACTAAAATGTTGTTTTTCATTCTCTACAATAAAAAACAAAAACAAATTAGTATATGATGGGAGCTAGATATTGTATCTCTACAACACTAAGTGGTAACACATGCAAGTATACACGTGTCAACACTATCGCCTTCAAGTAATAAATTGGTAAGAACCAAGTATCGTATTTCACAGGGATATGTATTTTAAGTTGTAAGATATTGAGTTGAAAGATTAACTTTAGATGACGAATTTGAAGAATCTGATTGGCTTTGAGTTAACAATGATAAAATAACAGAATATAAAAGGGTAGCATGGGTGTAAGACTTATAGTGAAATGTAAACACAAATTCCAGCAAACAATGTTGTAGTAATGCTACAGCATACAGCAAGCCAAAACTAGTTCTTCCATCTATTTTGAAGGTATTCCTCTCAGACTTCATCTTTGCACTATATTATAGCTTTCAACCCAGGTAAGAACATCTTACCTGATCACTGCTTCTTTTATCTCCATCTCATTTTTCTTATTTTCAAGACACCATTTTCTTTTGCATTCTTTTCCTCTGGCTAATAAAATGTTTCAGTTCGCCACGTTGTCTCTTGCCTGTCCATGGATTCAACAACAGTTTGACAGATTAACCTATTCAGGAATCTCCCCTAGTTGTTTCAAGAATATTGTTGTTGAGTTTCTCGACTCTTTTCCTTAAGAAATTATGAAGTTACAAAGTTTCACCATTTTGTCCTTGTACTTTACTCCCCTAAGTTTTAGCATATGCAAAACCACTTTTAAAAAGAATAAACCTCCATGTGATTCCATATATGCTCCAACATGGATAACATGATAGAGATGCATAAGGCCCGAGTTTTGAATCCGAGCCTTTCAAGTACGTTTTCAATGAGCCTAATCGGACTTTTTCAAGTCAGAGCTAGGCTCGAGTTTGCCACTAAAGGGTTTGATCAGGCTTTAAGGGTTGTCCTAGACCGGCTTTGAGCTCACTAGACCAGGATTTTTTTATCCGAACCAAACTCAAGCTAGGTCTACCCCTGGCTTTGAACCTGAACATTTTTGTTCATCTTTAAACATGAATCTCCTACATGTAGCAACATGTTAATAAACAGTGCTACACCTTTCATCAACTAGTCAAAAGTCATAACGAAAAACACAACCATCAAAGACAAAACTACTCTAACATCCTTACGAAAAGGAAAAGACTACAAAAACAAAAACCAGCTAAAAGATATATTACAATACAAAATACAGAAACAAAACGATGAACACAAGTTACAAATAACTTTCAAAATGGAAGTTACAAAGTCTTGATTTTGTTTCCATACAACAAACATAATACCAATGCATTACAATATACACTATTGAGCTAATGCAACACTTCTTATTCACTTGGAAACCCCACCACCACCACCACCACCTTTTCCATTGTTGTTTGCCATCTTTAGTTGAAGGGTAACCTGATACATATATATACATATTGATTATATATACAACACCAATATATATGTACATATTTTTGTTCATTTGTGTGTGTGTGTATCATATATAAACATATTTAGTGTTTTCTTCCACATCCAGTACAATCATGAACGTCTTACATATGAAACAACACTTCATTTTCACACGTGATGTTTCATAACAGATGAAAACCTGATTGTGACATTTATTGGGGTTGTACTGACAAATAGGTTATATATCTAGGCAGTAGAAAATGATTTGACATTTTGATTATACCCATGAAATGAACCCACGAATAGATACGTGATTTGACTTGTTTATCTGCTCAACCTTTGGCTATACAAACTATCATTTACAAGTTATACAGCTACAAAATGAACATCTTTCCTAAAGACGTTACTATAAGTTGGTAAGACAAAGTTAGACAACCTAACAAGTTTTATTGACGAAGATGGACAATCAAAATGACCAAAAAAAAAAAAAAAACTAAATCGTCTTGTTAACATTTTCACGTCACTTTTGAAAAGTGTCCCGTTAGTCTTTCAAGTTAACGACACATTTTCAAAAGTATCATGTAAAAGGCTAAACAAGACGATTTACATTTTGTGTCAAAAGGAAAAACGATCTCGAAAAATGAGAAGGTTAATTTGTGAGGAAGGTTGTAATGAGCTTACGCCAGTTTTAGAGAAGTATCTGAGCAATCATCCTCGGGAGGAGGTCCGCTGTTGCAACTATACACGTTAGTTGCAACAGACTCCGAAGACTGTCCTTGATCTTCGAGGTTAATTACCGAATTCTCCAACTCCGCAGCCGTTGCCCGAGGCCTCTTGCCTTTCGAGATCAAAGTCATCATCTACACATAAACGCTATTAAATTAATTAACAAATATATAAAATTTTTGAAGAAAAATATAATTAAAAGAGACTTGCTTGTTGTTTCAAGAGCTTGTTCTCTTCCATCAACTGAAATCCCTGTATATTTTCAATAGAAATTCTTTATCAATACCATGAAAATGCATATAAATCTAAATTTCTTTTGAATTTGGGGTCGATCATTGACTTCATAGAGTCAAACTTAGTATTTTTTTTATTAACCTGGATATCCAACTCGCTTTGCGAGCCGACTAGTCCCAGGGCGACCACCTGCTTTGTGAGTAACCCGGAGTCGCTTCATTTGAACCTCCGTGGCCACAAAGGGGATTTTTATTCCTCCTTGGATTTGAACTTAGTATTTTTCGAATTTGACCCTAAGAGGTCGATAACCGACTCTACTTTTGAGATGGTTGACTATAACAAATGCTCGTTAACCTTTTGTTGAAGATTCGCTATCTCATTTGCTATCCGTTCATCCTGAAACAACACATGAATCCCTTTAAATTAACCATCGATCACTACAAAAAGAGTACACTTTTGGGATGGATTATATTCTAAAACAAAAATACAGTCTGAGCCTAGAATTCAAGATGGTATTACTTTTTTTGCATATGAACAATCACTACAACAGAACGACATTATAAGACACTAAATATGTCTAAATGTTCTAATATATAGACTGTTATAGGACCAAAGAAATTATGTGCCTATGTAAAAGTGTTATAATAAGCTGATATGACATCTTTTACGTGTTCTAACAAGTTCTTTTAGGACAGTTTTAAAATAAAGTGTCAAATTAGTTTTTTACACTTTTGAGAAATGTCTTGTGTACAATTTATAGACACTTGTTTTTGCTCAAAATTTTCAAATAATGTCATATAAAAAGACTAAGATACAGCTTTATTTCAAAATTGTCATTAAAAACCTGTTACGACGTTCAAAAATATTTTATCAACTTATTGTAACACCTTGTTTGGTCCATTTAAACATATTTGACCTTCTCTAAAGCCGATTTTCTAATTCTAGTACTGAATTATCGTATTATTTCACATATGAAACTTATGGACAACAAAGAATCTAGTTAAAACCTTAGTTTGTAGCACACGGTTGAGCCCTCCTTCTAGCAAGTTCTCGAGCCGTTGGAGTTCTTCCAAGGTTAGTCCGTTAAGGTCCTCGCCACGCAATCGGCTGTTTTTTCGTGTGGGATGAAACCATACACATTAGCGACACATGAGATTTACACGTTACAAGCTATGTGAAAGTTAACAAAGATATACCTCAATTCACGATTCCTGTCGACTACCTCCTTGCCCATCCTCGAATCATCGCTTTCCACAAGCTACAAACATGTATATCTTGTTTTATTTTTGACGAATGATCCATAATTACGAATTCGAGAAATCGTTCACTATCATAAAATCCGGGTTTATAGGACGCCAAAAATATCTAAATCTTCTAAAAAACTGCTTTATAGGACTTGAGTTTATAAGATTAGACCATAAAATATAATATCTAAAAGCATTGCAATAAGTTCATCAGACCTTTTGGACATCTTGACAAGTTTTTTAGAACATTTTAAAATAAATATAGAACACTATTTGAAAAAATGTCTTATAAAAACAGATGTCATATAAAAAGATGGGTTCATGGAACATTTTTCAAACAATATATTTTTTACATGTTCTAAAAAAACTTGTTAAGACACCAAAAAACGTCATATAAACTTATTGTAATACTTTTAGACAGAATGAATACGATATAAAACGAAACTTAACCTGTAGATTGAGAGAAGGTTCGCCAACTTTATCGACATTATTTGTTGAATGGAGTTTATATTTTCCCAGTAACTCTTGCATGCTAATCAACAACACCAAAAAAGCAAAATGCTTACAATTTATATATAAACAGAAAATTGAATTGTTTTAGAAAAATCCAGTAAAAAAAAGTCCGGAATTCTCAGGTTCGAATCTAAGAAGGAATAAAAATCCCTTTATGGTCACGGAACCTTATGATTAGTCGGCTTACATAGCGGGTTGGATTTCCATGTTATCAAAAAAAAAATCTAAATGGTAAAATTAACAAGAATATTTTAGAAATTTAGGAAAAAAAATTATATGCATTAATAATTTATACTTAAAAGAAAAATAAGAGTGATTAAGATCAAACCCTAATAATATAATATAATCCTAAAATAAATGTCCATAATGAAAAAGATATAGCTTTAATTTTTTTATTGAATTATATATATATATTTCAAAAGAATATTTTTATTTAAATAAATTTCATATGTTACTTTATAATTTAAAATATCTGTTTTTTTAACTTATACAACCATTAAGATAACATATAATTAACCAAACTTTTACTTTATGTTTTATTGATTATTTGTTCAGTTAACCTATAATTAATATAACAAATAACAGGACCATGGAACAATATATTAAATTTAATTAGACCAATTTAGAATAATTTATTTATAATATCATCATTTTTGTTCAATAAGATATCAAAGTGGATGATTGACTCGTCTTGACTGAGAAGCTATTCCGACTGAAACAACAGTACGGTGCCTGGTTTTCTTATACTAACCCTCGAAAAACCAACAAACTCTTCCATAGTAATCATCCAGCCAGCTCAAGAAACACTACAACAAAATCGGGTTTATAGGACACTCCTAATTTCTAAGCGTCCTAATATATCTCTTTATAAGACTTAGTTTATAGGACCAGAAAAATAAAGTGTCCTATCTAAAGGCATTGTAATAAGTTTATATAGCATTTTTTTTATATCGTAATAAGTTTTTTAGAACACTTTTAATATAAAGCGTCTCATTAGCAACTTTATAGGACACTATTTGAAAAATTGTCCTATAAAAAATTGAGTTTATAGGACATTTTTTCAAAAGTGTCCTATAAAGTTGTTAATGCGACACTTTGTATTAAAAATGTCCTAAAAAACTTGTTAAGACGCTCAAAAGTGTCATATAAACTTATTATAACACATTTAGATAGGACACTTTATATTTTTGCCCTATAAATTAAGTCATATAAGCGGTCTATTGGGACGCTTCGAGATTGGAGGTGTCCTATAAACCTAATTTTGTTGTAATGAAAACGGTTTTGAGCAAGATAACTCAAGTTTATACATATCTATATAGGAGAGCGTTCAAATAAAAACCACTCAATTTGTAAAAACCGTGAAAACCTCATTCAACCAATCATAATTTTTCATTTTGTTCATTTTTTTGTAATTATGAGAGGTTGATTAACCATTTTTATTGTGGAGGGTGTTAATAATAGATATTATCATCTTCATTATTTTAATTTTAGAGAAATACATGAAACAGTTTCATTAAATTTTCATTAAATTATATGAAACAAATTCATAACCATATATGAAACAAATTCATCAAAAAAAGTATTATATGAAACAATTTCACAATATTAAACAATTTCATGAAAAATTTTCATAAGATTAAACAATGAAATCAACGTATGAGGGTGGATTGTACAGTTTGTACAAATAAGAGTGGTTTTCATTTGATCGCTCCTCTATATATATATATATATATATTTTATATATACATATAAGAGAGAAAATTCATTTATAATAATACAGAAAAATAAAACAAATGTTACATAAATAAGAAATGATGATTTTATTTATTTATACAAAAAATTGAAAATTTTTCATTTTCATTTTCATTTTCATTTTCATTTTATTATTTTAATTTTGTCATAAAATAATTAATTAATTCACATAAATTCCTAGTTTATTAGGCTAAGAACCCTACATCTCCCCTCTCCCAAATGCAAAAAAGAGAGAGAAAGAAAATCCACTACCACAAAAAGGAAAGATTGAAGATGCCATGAATAGAATGGAAGCAAAAAATTTCAATATATACTTGATTATGTTTCTAAAAGTAGAAACTTTAAGGAAACAAAAATCTATCATATTAAAAAACACAAATAAAATCAAATATATGGATATTTAATTGAGTTGTTTAATAATTATTATGCTACAAACTTAGGTTTATAAAATTTTAAATCTAATATGTAGCATCAAATAATTAATTGGTTCGTTCGATCGTTTGTTTCCAACCATTTGAAATAAGGAAATGGTCTTCAGTTAACTCATGCAAGCAATAAATCGACAAGAAGTTGAACCGTTTACTTCGAGTTTAGCAATCTTGAGCAAAATTTCAGACAAAAAACCCGATAATTAATGTATACTGAACCTATAAAGAAATACCACATTGCAGAGTCGTAAAAAATTCTCTACGTATTTTATAATGATAAAAGAATATATATATATATATATATAGAGAGAGAGAGAGAGAGAGAGAGAGAGATGTGTTCATTTTAAAACATGGGATATTCCGAAAATTTGAGAACTGTCTACTTTATGTAATATTTATAATGAACAACTTAAATGATAATGATTATTATTTGTCATGCATATTTATCACGCGTTATGAGTAATTATTACATAATTTAAATTATGAATATTACATAAAATAGATAATTCTAAATATTTTAAATTTTAAAGTATTTAAGATTCCTAAATGAGTGGATCGGTGTGACTATATATATTGTGCATGTAATAATATCATTATTTAACTTAAGAGTTAAAATGACATGAAAATTTTAAGAAGTTATAATGTATCTCCTTAATTTATACCAATCAAGCCATTAACCACAAGGGTGGTGTCCGATTGGTTTAAACTTGAGTTCCAAAGGTCAAAAGCGTTTCAAGATCTTTGGTTCGAATACAAGAAGGAATAAAAATCCCCTTATAGCCACGGAGGTTCAAATGTTGTGACTCGGGACCATCACCTTGGGATTAATCAACTAGCATAGCTGGTTGGATATCCAGATTAATTCATATATTGGAAAGAAAACAACCAAAATAATGCAAAACCAATACTTTATTATACCCTCTATGTTTATGTCAAAAGGGAATTAGTTTTTTAATAATCATATTTAAATACAAAAACATTAATTAAAAAAATCAACAAATAATCAAAAAAAAATTATCTGAAAGCTATATTTTCTTTTGTACTTATAAATCTATAATGAGATCTACTTTGACTTTTAATGAACTAGAGTTGATTTCACTACAATTCCTAGTTTCTCAGAGTAGAAATTAACCAAAAATACACATTAAAAAGTACTCAAGAACCCTAAATCTGTCCTCTTCCACTACCTAAAAATGGAAAGACCAAGATTGCATGAATGGGAACACAAATCTTGCTATAAGTATCATCTTTCTATAAGTAGAAACTTTAAAAATTGAAGTACAATAAGTAATACATACATATATATATATATATATATGGAGGGTGTACAGTACCTGGAACTGGCATACTCAAACAGTTTTCCGGTGGCCGAGAAGATGACGAGAGCAACATCGGCGTCACAAAGCACAGCAAGTTCTTCAGCTTTCTTCAGAAGCCCTCTTCTTCTCTTCGAAAAAGTCACTTGTCTTGCAGTTATGTTATCGATCTTTCGTATCTTTATCTTCTCTCTCGCCATTGATGAGCCCTTCTGCAACAAAGGGTTTCTAAATTTAGAAAGCGATCCAACGACCCACATGAAAAAGGAGAAAGAAAAGAAAGACTCCAGTGAATTTCTTGAACCAAGATTCGAAGTTTTAGATCTAAACACCAAAACCCCACAAAAAAATCAACCACACCCACGATTCTTTTTCATTGATCTTCATCAACATGCAAAAGGAAGAACAGGTTTTTAGGGCAAAAGATCAAGATTCAGATGGGGGGTTTTTGGTGATTTCTTGTACCTTTCTTTTTCTGGAAGGAGGTAGATGGATTTGTGTTGGGATTCTTGGAAGAGAAACAGTGATTATGTACCAGTCTTACCAATAAAAGAAGAAAGAGAAAAAGGGAAAAAGAAAGGGATAGTGTGTGTGTGTGTGAGATAGTGTGTGTGTGAAGATGTATATGCGTTTGTGTGGGGTTCCAAGAAAGGGAAACCATAACCTTCCTCTAAATAGCAAAACTAATCCACTTTAACTTCAACCACTTACCACATTTGATAACAAAAAAATCTACTTCAATTTTTAAAATAATTTTTAGAGTAAATTAGAAAATATCGTCCCTATCGATTGCAAATCGTAGGGTTTTCATCCCTTCAGTTTTAAAACTGCAAACTCGTTTATGTGGTTTCTATTTTATTTTGGATTGGTACCCTGGTTTTAACAGTCATCAAAGAGGATCTGTCAAATAACCCCATAAAGCTTACATATTAAGCAATTTAATCATTTTAGCTAATATTTTATGTGTACAAGTTTAGAATGCGTATGTAAAAGTTTGTAATACATTAATGAAGAAGAAACAAATTAAACCCTGCTCCTATAAGTGCATGGCCTCCCGCATCTCTGGCTACATCCCCTTTTCGGTAAATCCCACCCTCAAACAGCCCCTCTGGGGATGTAGTGGAATCATCTTCCTTGGGTTCGAATCTGAACGCTGCCAAAGTTTTTATGGTCATGGAGGTTCACCTATGATGAAATCAGACCATTCGTGGTCGTCCGATAAATTAGTTGGTATGCATAAACTGATCCAGATGTTTATAGTTACCTGAAAAAAACAGACGTTCCCCTCTATTTTCTTCGGTAGCCGCACCACCACTACAAAAGTGGACAACAAACAGAAAATCCAAGTACTTTAAATCACAAAGCTATAGTCAAATACATAGCCATGTAAATTGAAATACAAAACCATACATTATAAATCAAGATTGCCTAAAAAAAAATCCCTAAAAACAACAAAAAAACCAAACCAAATGAAGATCACGATCAACAATACGAGGTTCACGAATTGTTGAACGTTGTTGTTTGTGTTTGTCGACCATCTCTATTCATTGCACTTTGGTTGTACAATTTTGTTGAGGTTTTGTGCAAATCTGCAATGGTGCTCGACAATAGAGATGGAGATGCCGATGGTGCTCAAGGATGGTGAAAAGACGAAGATGGAGGTGGGGATGTCACACCTTCACGTGTTTACTGCTTAGCATGTGAGGTAACTTAATGGGAGCAATTTCACGATAGTTAAAGTCAGGGACTAAATACATAGCAAATATGAAGCCACCAATAGATTTTGTAGTTTTTAAACCATAGGGACGAGAACTACTGGCTGAAATTATAATCTGCTACCGGCACACAACTCTCTCTCTCTCTCTCTCTCTCTATATATATATATATAGCCACTCAATCATCTGCAAGCCAAGATTTTAGTATAAACCAATATCAACCGCCCATTTAGCCTAATAAATATATGGTTCCATAAAATATCTAGCTTGTTTCCTCATCTAAAACGTTGATCGATCATAATAAATGAACTCTGATTATCTTCTCTATATATTTATGAACCATGATCATCTTTCATCGATAGCACGCCATGTATCTGGGAATTCATCATGAATGTTGCCAAAAATTCACATCCATTATTCATGATGAATATAGACACGAGACGCGCTCTCAGTGTTTACCCATTTTGCCATGAAAAAGCGGTTTTCAAACAAACTTTCCTCTCTCTCCTCATCTCTCTCTCTCTCTCTCTCTATATATATATATATATATAAATGTTTATGTATATATATATGTGTATGTATAAGGGACCATACATGGGAGAGCTTGAGGTTTGTGAGGACCCTAAGATGAAGTTACAACCTCTCACCAATTTAAAACAAAAAAGAATATAAAATGGCAATTTTGTAATTACTCTCAAATCAACCGTCCTTTTTTAAATAGACCTGATATTATAGGAGTAATAATATAATATAGGGTTTTGAAATCCCTCTCTCCTAATTTTCTGTTTATTCTCTCTTATCTTCTGATTTCTGTTCCTCACTCCTTTTATTATTGTTAACACTTACCAGGTAAATTATTATATATGATGTTATTTTCATAAACTGAAAATCTTACCCGATAAGTAAGTAATAATGTTAAATTTTATCGATAAATATTTATTGAATAAGTGTTTAATAAACGATACGTTACTGTATTTAAAGATAAATCGAGTGTTGATGAATCGAGCGTTTCATGTTGTGAACAAATGCTTAAGGGTCTTTAGGAGAGTATGTCAATTTAGCTGCAATGTTTACAATAGTGATGGCCAAATCGGCCAGGCCCTGCTTGGGACCGCCGGTTACATCCGGTTATGGTTTTTGTGGGATTTGTGGGACCGGGACCGGTAATAGCGCCGTCCGGCCCGAAATATTAAATAAATGACTTTTTTTAAATATAGTCGTTAATTAACCATTTTTGACCCTTTTTTTTTGTATTTTTTGGCCTCTTAACACTATAAATATGTAACAAGGTTGAGAGATTTACATACCAAGTTCTCAATTCGCAAAAAAAACAAAAAATGTTCACAATTCTCGTAATAAAACATATTTTTAAAGTGTATTTGAGTGACACGTACAACAAATTTAATAATGTATTAAAAATATTTATCATTAAAAAATTTAATATATATATATATATATATTTATTTATTTATATTTAAGGGTGGGACCAGGAACGGTAGCCCATAAACGGTTATAAACTAGCTTGACCAGTCTTCATCTATTCGACCGGGACCGGTTATGATAAATCTTGAGACTGGTTGGGACCGACCCGACCTGACCTGACCCGGAACCGATTTTTAACCATCACTAGCTTACAAACACTTAAAAATCCGCATGATTAACCCGGGACCAATTTGCATGGTTTTAAATTGAAAACAAACGTAGCATCGTACCTTAAACAGTATTTTCACAATGTACACTGATCATAACTTAAAAGAAAATATGCAAATTACAATTAGTTTTACTAATTGTTGATGAATGCATTATAATAAGTTTGAGTTTATATGATATTAAAGGGTGGTGTTTGATTGGTTTGAGCTTGGCTCCAAATATCAAAAGTACTAGGAGGTCCCAAGTTTAAATCCAAGGAGAAATAAAAATCCCCTTGTGACCACGGAGGTTCAAATGCGGTGACTATGGGCCATCTGCAAAGCATGTGGTTGCCCTGTGATTAGTCGGCTCGCATAGCAGGTTGGATATCCAGATTAATCAAAAAAAAATCAATCGTCCTAATAGACTGATTTATAAGACTTAGACCTTGTTTGTTTTTAGAAAAAAAAAACTCTTATTAGCTTTTTATGTTTGATTTGCCAAGAGGTAGTGTCGTTTAGACTGTTTGGTTTTTTCATTTTTTAGAGACACTTATATCTTATTGTCCTCTTATCTGGTAAGAGGTAAACCAATCTCTTATTTGCCTCTTATTGTTCTCAAAACCTCTACTAACGACGTTTCTCAATCGATTAACTTTAATCGATCAGTTTTTCAATTGATCATTACCAAATCGATCCTCATATATCTCAATTGGTGTTTTTTTTTAATAAGATTTAAATGTGTTAAATACCGTTAATGGTATATTTTCGTTTAAATTAATGCTAATTATATAATTTAAATATAAATTTCGTAATGATGATGGATAAATATGTGAAATTCTATAAATTTACCTATAAATTCAACATTATAATTTTCTAATTGGTAAAATAGATAATTTAAGCAAATTCAGACATTTATCAGTTTACAAAAACATACAGTCTTATTGATTCAGATTTCAGACTTCATCACCACCTCTTATTAACCAGAAGTGACATAAAGACTTCAGACTTCAGCATCTCTTGAAAAACAAATGACACATTAACTTATAGAACAAAAAAAAATAGAATATCATATCAAAAAAGCGTTTGTAATAAGTTTATAGGACATTTTGGGTGTTGTAACAAGTACTTTATAACATTTTTATTTAAAAAAAAAATCATATTAGCTATTTTATTATGATACCATTTGAAAAAAAAAATATCTTATCAAAACAACCGTTCCACAAATAGACAAGTTTATAAGATATTTTCTTAAAATCATCCTATAAAATAGCTAATACGACATTTTATATTAAAAATTGTTCTAAAAACTTGTTAAAACATCTAAAAACGTACTATAAACTTATTACAATGCCTTTAAATAAAATACTTTATCTTTTAGTCATATAAATTAAGTTTTATAGCAGAAAAAATCTTTCCACCTTTACATAAAAATATATTATATTCTTTTGAAAAATAAATAATATTCTTTTTTGACAACTTGTTAAAGTAGTATTTTTTTTTTAAAAAATAGTAGATATTTTATTTTAGATTTTTTGTTTATTTGTGATTAAAAAAAATGAAAAATAAAAAGTATGTATAATGTTGTGTGTGGACCAGGCTACATCTTTTGTGGTTACCTGAAGAATAATTATCTACTCTACTTGTGACCATTTCAACACATAGGGCCGTTTATCCAATGGCTTACCTGGTAAGCATTTATCGATAGGAGTCAACACTATGATTTATTTTAATGCGTAAGATTTTAGTATATCAAAACATATTGATTGCAACAATTTAGTGGGTAAGTGCTTATCTTGGTAAGAGTCGTCATCTTTACTTACCGGGTAAGACTCTCCATCATTCTCATCGCTCTTATCCGGTAAGATTCTTGACCCTTCTCATGTTCATCCGATGAGGAAATTTACCCGGTAAGTATTTAGTAAACGCTTCCTAAGTTTTTTTTTTAGTGAGCTTTTCATGTTATAAATTTTTTTATTTACTTTCTGTTGTATAAAAAATGTTGTTTAATGTGAATATATTTTTGGAAAGTTAAAAACAGTGCAACGATATAAAAACAGTTCAGTCTCACATGAACCTAATTTTATATATGTACATATATATAGGGGTTGGTTCAAATGTTAACCAAGTTTATTGTGTTAACTTTGTTAACCAATCTTGGTTATTGATTCTTACAATAAACGGATGTGATTTATCATATTAAAAATTTAATTTTTTAAATTTACAATTTCACAAACATATG